ATAACCACACACTGTCATGCCAAGCCAAACATAACCACACACCGCCATGCCAAGCCAAACATAACCATACATCGTCATGTCAAGCCACACAGAACCACACACCATCATGCCAATCCAAGTATAATCGCACACCGTAATGCCAAGCTAAACATAACCACACACCGTCATGCCAAGCCAAACATAACCACACACCGTCATGCCAAGCCAAATATAACCACACACCGTCATGTCAGGCCAAACATAACCACACATCGTCATGCCAGGCCAAACATAACCACACACCGCCATGCCAGGCCAAACATAACCACACATCGTCATGCCAGGCCAAACATAACCACACACCGCCATGCCAAATATAACCACACACCGCCATGCCAGGCCAAACATAACCACACATCGTCATGCCAGGCCAAACATAACCACACACCGCCATGCCAGGCCAAACATAACCACACATCGTCATGCCAGGCCAAACATAACCATACACCGCCATGCCAAGCCAAATATAACCACACACCGCCATGCCAGGCCAAACATAACCACACACCGTCATGCCAAGCCAAACATAACTACACACCGTCATGCCAAGCCAAACATAACCACACACCGCCATGCCAAGCCAAACATAACCATACATCGTCATGCCAAGCCACACAGAACCACACACCATCATGCCAATCCAAGCATAATCACACATCGTAATGCCAAGCTAAACATAACCACACACCGTCATGCCAAGCCAAACATAACCACACACCGCCATGCCAGGCCAAACACAACCACACATCGTCATGCCAGGCCAAACATAACCACACACCGCCATGCCAAGCCAAATATAACCACACACCGCCATGCCAGGCCAAACATAACCACACACCGTCATGCCAGGCCAAACATAACCACACACCGCCATGCCAGGCCAAACATAACCACACACCGTCATGCCAGGCCAAACATAACCACACACCGCCATGCCAGGCCAAACATAACCACACATCGCCATGCCAAGTAACACATGACTATGAGTAGGACATTACTGAGACTATCAGGTAGAAATAATGGGGATGAATGCATATACAAAATGTACTTCAGCGTATCTTTATTCAAGCAGTGTTTTGAGAATTGACGTATAGATAATTATTGTGTGTCTTACTTGTGACAATAGTCCGACTCTACCATCCCATATACTTTCACATGTTCGCACATTGTCAAAGCCAGTAACAACGTATACCAACCAGTACTCAACCATGACCCGGATGCAGCTCTGTATATTGATATAAATGGTGACCGATTAGATCTCAATACGAACACAACAAAATCTAGTGAAGATCTGAGATAAACCTACATCTTTGAAGATAATGTGTGGAATCCAGAAGTATCCCTACTACAAAGTCGAATTTTTGAGCAAATAATGTATCTATTTCAGCAGTTAGAGGCAATTTCTGTTATGCAGTTGGATAGCCGCGAGTCATTTTTCGTGCGCCCTATGTTTATATCCAAAATTATAATATTATATTGTGCGGTACAGACGATGTGCTTAACATGTAAACATAAGTCCCCGTTTCGGATTCGGTACTAATTACTACCTATCCTGTCCTGTTTCTTGTCGAAAAACCCGGTCAGCAAAATCCATCTGTTCGAATGATGAAATATATAGATCCAGACTTGGGTATTGCTTCAATAATCTAAGGCTTTCTTCCTCTACCATGCTAAGTATTTCTTTAACAGTAGTACTCCATATTACAAACGTTCCTGTTATTCCTTCCTGTTCAAAGAACTGCTCTTTTTCGAATAGTTGTTGCTGTAAATTGACAAAACTGAACATCCTTAGTGTGGTCTTCGTGCCCACGTCTTTCTCATATCCACGAGTAGGTGCTGTATTCATTCTAATGACGCAGGTATTCTTATCGATTTCGGCACCAGCACCTGAGCCCAACAACTGACCCGACGAGGTCACAATGGCACATATGTCGCAGTGAAGATTCAACACCTGAGAAAAATGATAATAATATATCAGATCATCTACATTAATAGTGTATCAACTCCAATATTTTAGTGAAAAAAAACAACATCTGGATCTAGTCCCTCGAGTGTTTCTTATCGCAAGTTCATTGAGTTGAGCTTACCTCACTTTCATTCTTCATTCTCACAAATCCAAATGAATTATTGGAAAACATTTTTGTAATTCTTTCTTTTTCTATTTGATTAACTTCAATAAACCGGTATTTGTGCACTTCTTTTTCATATGCTACGTTCGCTTCATGTTGATTGGTTGTGGTATAAATAACTGCGCATGTAATTACAGTGGCAGCAAGTACACGAACAATAATCTGTTTCTTGATCTTCATAGCGTTGCGTTTTATACTTCAACATTCAAGAAAAAATAAACAGAATATCTGGTCATTCGGTGGTTCGGAACTCATATAACTTTCAATTGTCTGAGTTCAGGAGTTGAATAGATTCACAAGTGTTCGAACGTTATATATACTGACATAACTTTCTTAAATTTAGGTCAATTTCGATAATATTTATAATAAACCCCAAATGATCACAACAATAATTAGACCATGAAAACAATAAACAATCATAATGTAAGAAATATACAAACAATCACAGACATAATTCGGTGTCGATTTGTTGGCATATTTTTTTGTATTATTTACCACAAATATTAACGAATGTAGACACGAACAATATGTTGTAACTGTTTTAGCATGTTTTACACGTACAGACGTATACTAACAAGAATCAGATTATCGCATTATATACGTAATAATAACTACCTCGTTTTAACACGATATAAACAATCTCTGAAAAGTTGTGGGTTGCTTAGCCGGAATTTCAAGCGCATGGGTGGGGTGGGGTAGGGATGATTTTATCACCCCCCAAAAGTAATAACACTTTTGTTGTTGGTGATTTTAATACGGTTGCTAATACGTTTGGAAGAAAACAACAAAAGTGACTTTTTCAAATTTGAAAAAATGATACTCGTAATTCTGTATTTACATAGATTGTTTAAAAAACCGGAGAGGCTACGTCGGCTTAATTGATCACTGGCGCGAAAACTACCGAGACATACAATCATATTTAATTTCGGGAAGAAATTTCTACCCCAAAATCGTCGTGTGTGCCAGAAATCTGGTAGACACACTAGCATTCTGTAAGTACAAACTTAAGAAAAAAAACTTTCCTCGATTTCTGGAGTTATAGCAAGCTGGAATATTGAGAGAAAACCGTTTAACTAAATAAATAATTACAGCGGACGCAAAATATTTGTCACACAACTACCTCCCGCACCTGATTATCGGGGACACTTACCGAGACACTTAAGTGGCCTTTGTAGACGCGATATGGTTTCCGTACCCACCTACGTGAATCAACAGACCGTTTGAGATAGATTCAATATTACAACTTGTAAGCGTTCAGTCAAAAATGTTTTATTCATTTTTGTTACCGGAAACTTTATCAGTTTATGCATACATATGCTCGTTCATTTAATAAATAAATAAATTCTATTTGAATTTCAAAATAATAAACCTCGTTGAACCAATAATTTTAAAAAAAACATATGGAATTGCCTAAATTACCTTCGTGAGAATAGTTTAGTTTTAAATACATTTTCTGGTTTTGAACACATGGTTGATTATGTCAAAACGTGTAGAAAAAAACACCCAGAAGGAGATTATGTTTGTTATATATATATACGTGTAACACAGGAATATATTGTTTTACCTACAAAGCAGTGGAATAGTCTAACTACGCCGCCCCTCAGGGGCCACGCAACAAAGGCATACTCAAGGGCTGCGTCCGGTGTTTTGGTATCGGCTAATAAAGTGTCCAGTGTTTTGAGGATGTTACAAAGTTCTTCGTTAATATCCTACTAGGTGAAGGAGTTAGATGTATGTAAATCATCTTGCACCCGCTGTAAGTCTATTTTCAGTATTTTGTCGTATATTGGAAGTTTTGTCAGTAATGTGTATTATTTCGTCATGTATGCAAATATATTTTCATATCATATCATATCATATATCATATGTCTTGTGCTTTATTAATCACTGACAATAGTAAATACATAAAAGTTTCTAACCAAAAATGTACTCTATAACGAATCAAAATGACCCCTAGGGTACTTGTACGTTGCGCTTTTGTTATTGGTTTGTATATACATTTGTAAGCGTGAATGTACGTGCATTCCAATAATATTTAAAAACATAATTCTCCGTGGAGTTTCCGTATTGTATTTACGGGCTAATGGGTAAATTGTGCAAAACTACACTCATTCGCAGAGTTTAGTTCTAAACTACAAATTAGGAACATAGTAAGTCAGACGCGGCATTGGACAGGAACAGTCGCTTACACGACATTGGCGACACAGTCGTCAACAGCTGTGTAGTGCACACTTCAGTTTGCTCCTAGTACATGGACTTATACTGCTATCTAATGTTCCACTAGGAATCTTAATAATTCATCGAATATCAAAACAGATTGACAGTACGTTATTAATGTAGACTCACTTTCTTCTTGTCACATCACATGCTCGTTCAAAGGTTGCACTGGTCCTTACAGATCCACGTCGCCATGTTGTAGAACCGTGGGATTCTGACATGTGTCATATCATGTACCAACAAGCGGGGCCTATTTTAATCAGTAACGTTGAGTCTACTAGATTAACATACAGTGAGTGACGTCATAAGTGTGAGATATATGTCATTTATTTATTTTGTTTCAGGGACATTCACGTGGACGTTTTGCTGACCCTTTGACCGATTCGACAGTACGAGCTGTTGCTAAAGATACAATTCCTATGAATACACAGCGACGCAGCATGTGGACACTTCGTGCATTCAACGAATGATCCATGCACAGTCAGCTGTCGAGAACGGGGGTGGGGGTCGGTATCCTCGCCATGCAAGATATCTATCTCCTTCAAAATATCGCCCCAATACGTGGTCATTCTCGAAAATACCACCCACCTTTTCTATTGTTTGAATCAGTGCGAAGTATGTATTTCTAGCTGAAGGTCACAGAACATTTGCACGGGAACTACCATTCCAGAGTATCATTTCTACGACACTATAACGCATCGCGAGGCTACACTTGAATATATCAGACCCCATGCGAACAGGAAGTCTCACACTGAAGTTGGAATTACAACTGATTACAACTGATTACACAATTGTTGAATAATATACTAGTATTCAAATTTATTGCTTAACAACACACAATACAAAGTGCAGTATGGCATTAATATAAAACAAAAATAACTGAACTTCCGTGGGGGTGAATATACAAAATTTTAATTACTTTTTATAAAATCACTATATATAAAAATAAATTGTTAATAATTTCTGTAATTTGTGGCGTACAACAGATAATTTTCCTACTTAAATTTGGTTTAGGTGGGTGCCAAGAGTTCACTCAACATTATTGCTGGCTGTAACTAAAGGCGTTGTGAGTGGTGATACAAACAGTATTTTACGTTAGTCGTATCCGTTGCTATGGACCCATGTGAAACAGGCCGCAGCGACACGACCACCGCATTTCAAAATTGTAACTTAGACTGAGATGTGACGATGCTTCACCATCTCGCAGGTCCAGAGTAACTTCTTCTATGGGTATTTTCAGAAAGCAGGAAAATTGTTTTTCCATCATCTTGATCTAAGTCCCAGGACGGGTGGTGAAACGTAATGTTGAAAACCCTGGCCCACTTCTTGAAGATGTATTTTTCAGTATGGAAACGATGTCCACCACGAAGACCGGATTCGTGTAAGCGAGTGAACGCACATTCTTTGGGACCCGTTGGCTCGAAGTAATGATGAGGCCTATCTTCGAAATACCGAATACTGAAATAACACAGAAAAACATTTATTCTTATTAGTTAGTGAAATCATTATTTTCCCCTGTTTCCCTGGATCACCATAATAAGAAATGTAGAAATGTCAACTCCCTGAATGGTTATTGACATAACCACATGATTTTACATGCCGCATCTATACACGTATAATAATGGCGAGTATGTGGTACAACCTACGAGGATTCCAGGCTATATAGTCGTTTGAATAGAGCACATTGTCACAGCGAACATGTATAGCGGCCATGACAGTGTGTTGGAAGTAATGAATGCCTATATTAGTGGATATTGTCATTACACCTAATCTGATAAATTACCCATAATGCAGCTTTTCAAGTAACCTTCTCAATTTATACAACAATATACAAACAAATAATGCAATGAGAAGAGGATTTGGATACAATTTACAAATTATCTTATCCTAAATCCATCTTTCAGTATAAATTGTTTTTTTCCTTACGTGCTACAATGGCCCGATTCAATCATCCCGAATATCTTCACATGTTCACACATCTTCAAAGCCATTATCAGCGTGAACCAACCAGTAGTCAACCAGGAACCTGATGCATCTCTGTACACACAAAACAAAATGACATCACATTTACACATAATAACACGGTAATATTTAACAGTTTAGTATGTAATGGTTTATCGTTGCAAGTTTTAGCTTGCCAGGATGATTTGTTGATATAATTGTAATTAGGTGGTGAATATTATTTGTTTATTCCAATCACTAACGAATTCATTTATTTATTCGCCTATATATAAATACAACAGGCGACCCACATGTGATTTGCAGTAAACGTGGTCTGACATGTACCTTTCCTGCCCCGTTTCCAATAGAAATAGTAGATCGGCATAGTCCATCAGTTCAAATGTTGAAATATACGGATCTAGATCTGGATGCCTCTTCATTAGTCTCCTAGCTTCACTGGTCACCACACTACGTATTTCTTTGGTATTGCTACTCCATATTACAAATGTGCCTGTTACTCCTTCCTTCTCGAACAACTCTTCTTTGTCGAATAATCGCCACTGCACATTGACGAAACTTGTCATGCGCAATGTTGTCCTCGTGCCCACGTCTTTCTCGTATCCACGTGTAGGTGCTGTGTTCATTCTAATGACGCAAGTAGCATTGTCGATTTCGTCACCAGCACCTGAGCCCAACATCTGACCCGAGGCGGACACGAGAGCACACACATCACAGTGAAGATTCAACTGCTGGGTAATTGAGACAAAATTGAGAAATTGGTAAAATAATGACACAATCGAATCCACGACAATATAATAATGTCTGGTGATACGAAGTGTTCAGTTGCAGCTGCTGCTTTTACACATTGCGTTTCTAAGATGAGATATGAAGTTGAACTTCCTTACTCTCATCTACCTTTATATAATTGATGAATAGTAGTTGACCCTGACAATGTCAGTTTTTGAACGGTTGCAGTTTCGAACTTCAACAATAAAATACGCCAAATCAACAGATCCAGGAAATGAAATCCCTACTCCTAAATATGTTTTAAATATGTTTATTTATTGGGTAAGCGGATAACTTACTGTAGAATACTTTATTTTCGCTTGGAATTTATTTTCGCTATTTTCGCTGAAGGGATGATTCCGTGAAAATAAAATCCAGCGAATATACTTTTTTCCTATATTTCACATTAAACTCATCAAAAAACAGTGAAAACAAATTCCATACAAACTGCCCAAAAAGCCTTTTCAGTGAAAATTAATTCCAGCGAAAATAAAGTATTCCACAGTAATATATGATAAGCGTTTTCGTTGGTACGTGAATGGGCATCGTCCGCCTGCACGGTGTTGTTCCGTTCGAACATTCCTCCCTCTACAACACCGTGCGGTAATACCATTCATAACCGTGTATGTCACGTGGTTGCGCGATAGAAAGTTTACCGACCAATAGAAAGCTTTGTTACAAAGACTGGCAGAAAGCGCTCGGAGCTCTGCATTTCTGATGTTTTCGGCTTCATTACTGCTGATATGTGTTGCAGTGATATCACGAGCTTTTGGGTATAACACCTACTCTTCTATAACAGTCAACAGTGGTGACAACACTATTATTAAGTAAAGCTTGAATAGCTTTGGTCTTGAATATCAGTGAGTTGTATGATGTATGGATATTGTCGCTGTATCGCCTCGACATCCAAGCCACCACAGCTTTAGCTGTGCTCAGCGACATTTATTCTCGGGTCAGGCATTTTCACCGCCTGGCAATCATCATGGTGAAACAAAGACCAATAAATTCTCAGAAAACGGTATTTTTGGAATGGTTGTTGTCACCCCTACATCATGTAAAACATATTTAAATTTGGTTGGATTTCTTCAAAGTTAAGTTTGTGCTGTTTTCTCGATTTTAGCTATTTTCACCGGCTTTTTGGTCAGTGCACAGCAGCTCGCGCAGAGTCCATAGAAATACATGGTAGAGTGGTGCGCGTTTTGTGACTTAGCTCCGCCTCGAAGATTTTGATAGCTTGGCCAAGCGCGTTGAAGAAGAAGTTATATGATTGGCTGTGTTGTTAAACTGATTCTAACTGTGAGGGCATTGTCACATACACATAGTCCTAATGAAATACTTCAAGGTGATAGTGGAGTGCTTCGCCGGAACATTCACCTTGAAAATTCAAGATGGTGAATGGGTGTAATGACTTATGTTTCAAAACCCAGACAAAAACATTGAACAGTGTTACATTCATTCAGTTGGCAAACACAGAATCTCCAGTGAACCGGTACTAGTATTTGCACAACACTTAGTAGAATATGTGCACACATTCGAAACTAAATAATAAAATGGTAGCTTCTGTATTGTTTATCATATATGGTATACTGCTTATTTATAAAAATCCAAGAACTGACATTAAACAACAACTACAAACATGACTTTAATGTCTGATTGATATATAATCACGTTATACGCGGAGATCCGTGCAGATGTTCTACGTCAACACTATGGAATATAACTGAACGCTGAGGCCATTTATCTCAGTAACTTTTGAATGCAATTGCGTTTTTATTTCATCTGGATTATCCCAAGATCATATTAAAAGATAATATGACAAAGTAAGCGAGTCCAACTTTTAAACATCAAAAACTGCCATCAACAGTTCAATTGTTACATTTTTGCGAATGGTACTATTATTTCCAAATCAAAGTTAAGGATGGGCACTATGGAAGTTGCCTTTAATACTGCACTAGTTATCATCAAGCATGGTATGTGCTACTGTAGTCGTATATTCATTAACTGGCGCAGTATATGTGTGCAGGTGTGTCTGATACTACAGCATTAGTCAATAACTGTCATAGTGCGTGTAGTTGTGTCTCAAACTGCAGTTGCCACCAGCAAGCATTGTGCGTGTAGTTGTCTCTGATAGAAGGGGGCAAGGCGGGATAGCTGGTACAGGTTACAGAAAATAACAAATGCATTTTACGTTTTTACAGGAAATAAAATTAAAAAAAATCCATTCACAGTAAAAAATGGAGTTTTTACACTTTACAAATAAAGCAAATTCCTAATTACATTTTACATTTTTATAAATAAATATACTTGATAATTTGAGAACCAAAATTTGAAATTGGGCACGAATTACGACACTTGATATAGAAAATTCTTTATATGCTTACACAAAATAAGATCTGTGTACAAATTACAGACGAATAAAAAGTCTGAATACATTTTACATCTTTCCCATGTCTATGAATTTACGTTTTTTATTTATTTAAGTTACATTATTACGAAAATAAAAACAATTGATTAAAGCTTAGGAAAATACCCCTTGTCGACCTCCTGATACTATAGTAATCACCAAATGATTATCTCTCTGTAACATCACATGTAATATTCATTGAACTTACCTCCTTTTCATTCTGCATTCTAACAAATCCAGAGGGATTGTGGGAAAACATTTTCCTAATTCTCTCTTTCTCCATTTCGTCCTTATTTCCTACAGCTTCCACCAAACGGTATTTGTGCATGTCATCTTCAGACACAGTGTCTATTTCCACTCTATCCAGAGCTCTTTTGAGACTATCCTCATTATCACCGCACAAAAAATTGACAAGTTTCTCAGTGTTGTTCAAATTACCTCGTGAAATGCATGAAAGTATACTGCCCCCAACGTCGAGATTGTATATTGTTCTCATTATTGGTATCGTTGCATGGTGATTGGTTGTTGCATAAAAAATGGCACAAGTTAATACAGTGGCAGCAGCAATCAGAATAATCTTTCGCTTCCTGGTCTTCATTGCACAACATCAACTATAAATGGATTTGGTGTTCCAATATTCAACTGTAAACACACTGAATCTACAGAATACAAGTTTACATATTAAAGCGGGGAAGTCTTCACCTGCGCATGCGTCAGATGGCCATAGCGTGTCATTGTTTACAGACAAGCGTCTACCCATGAGCCTTTGCGTTTCCAGTGTGTGTTGTTATCCTCGCTTGGGACTCATTTTCCGCGCGTGCGTAGGTGTCGACCCTCCCGCTTTAATACAGCTGAACAAGTCAAAGGATGAAATTGTCAAATATTGTTTGATGCCAGAGTTATACAACCTTCCCCAGTGGACGACGTAGTCCAAGAAAAGAACAACACAAAAGCACGAGTAAAAGTTAGTTTACAAAACCCAAGTGTTAGTGTAAGTGTAATTGGGAAAAAAACAGCACACTTAGGTAAGGCCGATAATCAAAGAGTCTAAAATGAAATGTCTGAAATGGTGGGAAAATTGTTTAATCATCGATCAGACCCGAACTCCATTATGCAGTTGGGTCAGTAAATTAGGCTAAGTGCTCCGAGTCACTCTCATAATTTTTCATTCTGGCAATGACAATGTCATTGTCCTGGCAATAATAAATATTGTCAAAATATTGTAGTATGTGACATATGTAATTTTAAGTACTGCTAAAATTGACGAACTGTTCCGGGCGTCACAAGTTGAAGCCCGGCACCCTACGCGAAGGACGAAATAATGTGTTTCCTGTCAAGCAACTTTCCAAATGAAAACATCAACGCGCCAAACAGAAAATCAAAACTCGAAGAGCCAGCCGATTTATTTGAATCACACCGTCCTATTTTTGTTCTTAATTTACTTCAACTGTGCGTTTAATTTTTCACATTGCAAAGAGAGAAGCGTGGGCGAGTAAATTGGCTTTTTCCCCGAAACTCAATAGGAAATATTTCAAACCGTGGCAACCGCATCAGAAAAAATATATAATGCATTTGTACAGGAAATAATAATTATGTTGAACCAGAACAAATCAAACTCTAAAAAGGTTGCAAGCACCCTCAAATATAATATAATATTATCGCATGAACACATGAACAGCGTACACCGCCATCGACGTATATTTTCTCTTTGGCCAAACAAAACTAAATTATTTTTTACGCGACTGTTATGTTAATTGGTAATATCGGTCATTATGCTCCATTTTAAATCATATATATATTGTTTATTAGTATTGTATTGCCTTGAGGCAACTAGGATAGGATAATCCAGTACACACATTACGCTAGTCATTCTGGTAGGCCACAGGGAGCCCAGGAACTATAATTAATTCACACATTCTGAACAGGCCACGCCCCCAACTGTGCCGTGCGTTAGTTATTCATAAATGGAGTCAATTTGTGTAGTTTTATTGATTTATTCTGCAGATATAGGTAAAATATAGGTAAGGCTTTGGCGAAATTTAAAAGAGCAACTAATATTCTTCAACCTGGTATTTTTCATAGATTTTATTTTTCGTTCTGTTCGTCTGTTTTTTTTCGAGTTTAAAAATTATGAGCTCGCTGGAGCCTTCATCCCTTATCTATTTCTTACACTATATATCAACTGATAGCCCCCCCCGCTCATAGAGGCTGCGTACAGTTGATTATAGTTCCTGGCTCCCTGTGGGTAGACTGTATAATAGGATATCTTTGAAAGTATATTTCCTTCATTACATCATAATATTTATTTCATAAAACATGATCAAATTATTAAAATAAGTTCACAGTAATTTCATTTGCCAAATTATATAATTTTCACTAAGATCTATGATTTTGAGGAAAATTGCCAAATCCCGTAGAACTACATTGAATGCGTTTGCCATTACGTCTTTAAGCACATGAAATGTTACTGACACCACCGTTAATAATTGCCATCATGTCTTCATGCACATGAAATGTTACTTACACCACCGGTAATGTTTGCCAGCATGTCTTCATGCACATGAAATGTTACTGACACCACCGTTGATGTTTGCCATCATGTCTTCATGCACATGAAATGTTACTGACACCACCGTTAATGTTTGCCATCATGTCTTCATGCACATGAAATGTTACTGACACCACCGTTAATGTTTGCCATCATGTCTTCATGCACATGAGATGTTGCTGACACTACCGTTAATGTTTGCCATCACGTCTTCATGCACATGAAATGTTACTTACACCACCGGTAATGTTTGCTATCCTGTCTTCATGCACATAAACTTTTACTGACACCACCGTTAATGTTTGCCATCATATCTTCATGCACATGAAATGTTACTTACACCACCGGTAATGTTTGCCAGCATGTCTTCATGCACATGAAATGTTACTGACACCACCGTTGATGTTTGCCATCATGTCTTCATGCACATGAAATGTTACTGACACCACCGTTAATGTTTGCCATCATGTCTTCATGCACATGAAATGTTACTGACACTACCGTTAATGTTTGCCATCATGTCTTCATGCACATGAAATGTTGCTTACACCACCGGTAATGTTTGCCATCATGTCTTCATGCACATAAAATGTTACTGACACCACCGTCAATGTGTTTGCCATCATGTCTTCATGCACATGAAATGTTACTTACACCACCGTTAATGTTTGCCATAATGTCTTCATGCACATGGAATGTTACTTACACCACCGTTGATGTTTTCCATCATGTCTTCATGTACATGAAATGTTACTGACACCGCCGTTAATGTTTGCCATCATGTCTTCATGCACATGAAATGTTACTGACACCACCGTTAATGTTTGCCATCATGTCTTCATGCACATGAAATGTTACTGACACCACCGTTAATGTTTGCCATCATGTCTTCATGCACATGAAATGTTACTGACACCACCGTCAATGTGTTTGCCATCATGTCTTTATGCACATGAAATGTTACTTACACCACCGTTAATGTTTGCCATGTCTTCATGCACATGGAATGTTACTTACACCACCGTTGATGTTTGCCATCATGTCTTCATGCACATAAAATGTTACTTACACCACCGTTATTGTTTGCCATCATGTCTTCATGCACATGAAATGTTACTGACACCGCCGTTAATGTTTGCTATCATGTCTTCATGCACATGAAATGTTACTGACACCGCCATTAATGTTTGCCATCATGTCTTCATGCACATGAAATGTTACTGACACCACCATTAATGTTTGCCATCATGTCTTCATGCACATGAAATGTTACTGACACCACCGTTAATGTTTGCCATCATGTCTTCATGCACATGAAATGTTACTGCCACCACCGTTAATGTTTGCCATCATGTTTCCTGGCACGTGAAATGTTTCCGACGTCACCGAAAATACGTTTGCCATTGTCTTCAAGCACATGGAATGTGGACGCCATCTTTAATGTTTGCTATCGTGCCTTCAAGCACATATAATGTTACTGACGTCATTGTGAATGTTTTTTCCATGGTCCGCTCATGTTGGCACTATTTGGTCCGCTCATGTTGGCACTATTTGGTCCGCTCATGTTGGCACTATTTGGTCCGCTCATGTTGGCACTATTTGGTCCGCTCATGTTGGCACTATTTGGTCCGCTCATGTTTGCACTATTTGGTCCGCTCATGTTGGCACTATTTGGTCCGCTCATGTTGGCACTATTTGGTCCGCTCATGTTGGCACTATTTGGTCCGCTCATGTTGGCACTATTTGGTCCGCTCATGTTGGCACTATTTGGTCCGCTCATGTTGGCACTATTTGGTCCGCTCATGTTGGCACTATTTGGTCCGCTCATGTTGGCACTATTTGGTCCGTTCATGTTGGCACTATTTGATCCGCTCATGTTGGCACTATTTGGTCCGCTCATGTTGGCACTATTTGGTCCGCTCATGTTGGCACTATTTGGTCTGCTCATGTTGGCACTATTTGGTCCGCTCATGTTGGCACTATTTGGTCCGCTCATGTTGGCACTATTGTGACAAAAGCATACAAAGTGCTAGGTCTAATATAAAGCGCACATGTAGACAATTTACCAGTATTACATGTCTACGCAGTTTGTATATTTCGCTAATTAGAAGTCGTCTTGAATACTGTACTCAAATCTGGTCACCACATCGAAAATACCTGGTTGGTAAAGTTGAGCGGGTCCAACAAAAGTTTGTCAAACACTTATGTTATTTTACTTCTCGCTCATTTGGATCATCACAGTATCATGAATTATGCATTCGTTTCAATTTACTGTCACCTGAGAATCGTAGAAATTTTCTTGACTCCGTCTTTTTGAATAAATGACTTAATAATACTGTTGATTCGCCCTACACTATTTACAGCATTCTTTTTCATGCTCCCTCCAGAAATCTCCGCTCTGTATATCCCTTCAAACTATCTCTTTGTCACAGTAATCTTAGAAAATATTTTTTTATCCCTCGATGTCTTGACTTTTTAAATTGTATTTATATTGCTGATTCAGTAGACATTTTTATGAGTCTATCTTCTTTTAAGAGATCTGTTTTAAATGCCATAAGTTGAGCTTTGGGTCTTTCTTTTTATTTTATATTATTTCTGTAAATATTTTTGTATTAGTATTTTATGAGTGCCTGTAATTGGGGAAACCTGTTGGAATCTCAAATAAATAAATAAATGTCTTCATCCACTCGACATGTTAATGATACCACCGTTAATGTGTTTGCCAAAATGTTTCCTGGCGCATGAAGTATTATTACTGTTAACGCCAATGTGTTTGCCATCATGTTTCCAGACACATGATAGTTACCGACGTCACTGTTAATGTACAACACCCATAATGATTGTCTAATAACGTTATCAATGTACACAATTGGTATCACTTTTATTGGGTCACAGATCATCATACGGACTGGGCCACACATGGTAGGAAAGGCCAGTAGTGCACACTTGCAATACGACTGAATATTTGCCAAACATTCTAAAACGACCTCATGTATTACAGGGAGTGGTAACCTCGTGCATGTACATCTTACATAAATTCTAACAAGAAAGCCATAATCGTACTTAGTATTAGAATAATTAGTGCATGCTTACCTTGGAAAATAGATCAATGGATTCACAGAGATTGGAAATGAACATGTCGCGGGCAGGTTAAATACGGTTCATAGACCTTTGTTAGCAAAACATGGCGAAACAAGTTTTTAATATTTAACTTGTTGGAGGTCTCTGTCGACTGAGTAGTCACCTGATATAACACGTGACACCAATATGTTAGAGGGTTACACCACGGTTAATAGGCAGATTCACACATTTTAACAATAACGTTTCCTAACCGTCTTTTTTAGTAACAGTGGTTACACTATTGATTTGTCAGTCTGAAAGGAATATACGTCATTTCATACTATTGGTTCAAGTTATCGAAATGGGTGACACAAAAAACAAATAATCTTACATTTTCATGACACAATAGTAATGCTAAAAATATCTTGTGTAACACTGTTTCTTTATTGATTTTCCTTGAAAAATATGAACCACACATCTTCAACGCTGTCACAGGTGAAAACATGAATTCTGCGCAAACCACGTAGTTTTAAACATTCTGTTATAGTTTCGTACTGGCCCAATGTTTGAAATGTACAAGTTTAACCGCCACAGAATACACAACATAAGTGCACGGGTGACAAGCACTCTAGTTAAAAATGTGATGTAGGCATAGGCTTATTTTTTATTGCTATTTCTGTTTATTTATGACAATTTTGTAAGGTTTTATTTGACGTTATTAAGTTTTATATCGCATCTCAGTCGTCTTATTATAAAAAGTGGAGCCTATAATTACATCGAATTTTAATCTGTTTAATTTTACATATACTTCTGAAGTTAGGGTAGTATCAGGGGTAAAATTCTCCTCCACGGGGTTCTCCACACTTGTCAGGAGGGAATCTCGTCTCGTCTCTATATCGCGTCCCCTTGAGGTACGGGATCGGGAAAGTCACTTTAACTTTACAGTCAAATAAGACACACACAACGAAATACGTTTCAACTATCGTCTTAGTCGATCTTTTGGAGCACTCTATAAGACACAGCGCCCAGGGGAAAAGTCCCCAAGACCCTCACAAGGCTGAACCAAGACTCGCCCAAGACTGGACTGCGTCAAGGCTCGCCCCAAGACTCTCCAGGACTGCACTCTCTCTCTTCTCTACTGCGTCTGTCGTGGAATATTCTTCAAGACCAACTCAAACTCTCTTTATTCATTTTCAAAACTCTAACCAATTACAAAGCAGTAAAAAGACTCTAGGGCGTAACCTTCAATCATAAAGCCAATCACACTAAGTACTGAATACGTCATATCTTTTGATTAATCGTTCACTACATTAATAACTACGGATGTCAGATTAGCGACGGTATCTTGTAATTTGTTGTGTCTGAGCATTAATAGTATAAACATATACCGTACTTTGCATGGCCATATTCCCGCCATCAGTTGGGTTGCTTAGCAACAGATGGGATTCTGGGACAGGGCTGCCATCTTTGTGAGTTCCGTTAGTTATTACACACAAGTAAACCTTGCTTGTATACCGAACCTGTTGTCTGCGTGTTTATTGGGCCCGACACCACATTTTGGCGACGAGGATGGCTGAATTTCATCTCCCACCA